TATTGCTAGCCACTTTTCTGGTTTTCCTCACATCACATGATTTAACGTCCATGAATATTGCTAGCCACTTTTCTGGTTTTCCTCACACCTCATGATTTAACGTCCATGAATATTGCTAGCCACTTTTCTGGTTTTCCTCACATCACATGATTTAACGTCCATGAATATTGCTAGCCACTTTTCTGGTTTTCCTCACACCTCATGATTTAACGTCCATGAATATTGCTAGCCACATTTCTGGTTTTCCTCACACCTCATGATTTAACGTCCATGAATATTGTTAGCCACCTTCCTGGTTTTCCTCACATTTCATGATTTAATGTTCGTGAATTTTATTAGCCACCTTCCTTAAATTGTTATTGTACAATTAAGATTTATTTTTACCCCTGGCGGCAAGGTATAACAACGTTAAAATTTTCTGCTCTCAGATTTTTATTAAGTCACTTAAATGATATCAGTAAAACCCCATAATGTCTAACTGTTTATAGTCGAGAATTAATATCATAAAAGGGTTAAACTTGTTAAATATAATTGTAAATAATTTCACCACCAGAGTATATTTCGCAGACAGACAACAAAGAGCGAATAAATGAAATGAAGTCATTCATATTTTAAACTGCTTTAAAATCCACTTAAACAAGAACATTAAAATTTAGTAAAGTTCCTTTCAAAGTTCTGTAATATATATAAATAAATACGATGTTTTTTAATTTTAAACTAATGTTTATTTTTCACAAGAGAAGAAACCTTCCACGCAAACACAGCTGTGCCTATAAAAACAAAATATCATTTTATTTCTAAGCCAGGCCATACAGAAGAAGAAAAATAAAAAGTGTTAGTGCATATAATATTTGTTAATGCATAAATCCCATTTTGAAAACTGATGGACCTCTTGATTTAATTGCAGTTTCAAAAACGTTGGCAAATTACAAATTAGTCTTACTTCCAAATGATAAAGGCCCATATTTTCTATCTTTCTGAAATGACCCTGGCTATTTTGAAAGGTTTGTTTTCGATGTGTTAAACATTGAAAGATCGTAATCCATAGAGTTTTTTCATATCGTGGCTGTAGTTCTGTAGACATAATGAAATATTTTGAACCAAGTACTTGGACACCACTGAGAAATCGTGTTTATTGATTTAATTTTAACGCGAGAAAGCTTTAATGTTTCTGTTAATTTTCTGAACATAGCTGAAGAACTGGGACATCCTTATAATGGAAGTACACATGAAAAAACACCAACCAATTCGGGTTGAGTCACGTTAACTGTTTATTCACAGACTGTGTAGTTTATAATATGCCTGTTTAAGTAACAAATGCAATTAGTGATAATTTCTAAATTGTTTATATTGATTGAAATATTATGATTTCAATAGTAAAGCAATTTTAAGAAAACTAATGGAAAACGAACACGCAGTGGGAGGTTTAGGCATCTAGGACTAAACTATAGATGAAACTCATAGAAGAAGGCAATATGATCAGTGAGAAGAAATAGTGTCTGTGGTTCTTCACATTTTCCACTAGTATAACATAGTATCTGGAACAACCTGTTGAAGAAAATAAAACCATTGTAACCAATGATATTCCATTTCAAAGATCAGTAAACAATAGAATAGTCTGGAGGAAAAATACATATTTCAGTTTTTTTACTTATGGCCGTGAAATTAGGGTTCTAATTGCTTCTGAACTATGCTACTTTAGTCCGATTTTCAAAACGCCTTCAGACATTTTTGAGTAAAAGTTGATTTTAGTTGTTTGATGTTAAGCACAGAGATACATAATGTGCTATCTGTGCTGTGTCCGTCACGGGTATCGAAACCCAGTTTTTTGGCATTATAAGCCTTCAGACTTAGCATTTAGCCACTTGGAGGGGCGTAAAAGTTGGAGTATAGTTTTTCTGCTAAATGGTCAAGGTTCTACACCAAAGTTAGTATAATACGTAGTCTTGAAATATATTTGCATAACTAACTTTTCTTTATGGAAGATTTTTAGTCGGGTTAAATTCATGTAAAAGAGAGAGGATGCCAAGGAAAGATTACTTAAAACCATGTCTGAACATTAATCTACAAAATAATAAATGTCTTTCAATAACAGTGTTATTTTTGTGAATAAATGTCTTTGAATTACAATGTTATTTTGGTGAATAAATGTCTTTGAATTACAGTGTTATTTTTGTGAATAAATGTCTTTGAATTACAGTGTTATTTTTGTGAATAAATGTCTTTGAATTACAGTGTTATTTTTGTGAATAAATGTCTTTGAATTACAGTGTTATTTAGTGGTATTGTACTTCAATCAGCTTGAAAAATATAACCTTCTAGATGAGACCGTATAACTTCATTTTTATTAGGCTTAATAGGTATAATAAAGTAGTTCTCACAGATCACACAACATTATCGTCTGGGAATAATGGTGCTGCTCCACCTTTCTTTGGTGGCCATTTTGTTTGGGTGCAGTTCAAAGGTCAAAACTCAAATACCCAGTAACGTTTGACAACCTTCTACGATAAAAATAGTATACAATGTTGACTTTTGTCCCATTTCATGACGACTCATTTTTGTATCCTGCTTTTCAAAGGTTAAGTTTGACGGTTACAGCTTGACAAACAGTTGAAATGGATTCGAAATCTCCGAATCCTAAAAACTAAATTTGATATGTAATATCTTGTTACGGACTAAATGAAATTTGAAAGTGGACAGTTGATTAAAATTTTCGGGAATTACCAGTGGAAGACGTTTTTGGTTATTTGTTGAATTTCGCCCAAAGCTGCTCGAGGGCTATCTGCTTTAGCTGTCCTCAATTTAGAAGTGATAGACTAGAGGAAAGGCAGCTAGCCAACTCCACCCACCGCCAATTATTGAGCTACCTTTACCAACGAATAGTGGAATTGAGCGCTACATTATAACGCCCCTACAGCTGAAAAGGACGAACATGTTTGGTGACGGGATTTAAACTTGCTAGTTGAGTGACTCAACAGCAGGACATTACAGACAAGATATTTTTTTGTGTCTAATGAATTTGAAACGACAGATAGTTTCATAAAGTATCTTTGATATAAACATATTTGGTTTATTTTGAATTTCCCACAAAGCAACGCGAGGGCTATCTTCGACAAAATCATATTTGTCTCGCGGATTTGAATGCAGTAGTTAGTTTTAAAATTCTTTATGCTTTTGTCCCTATTGCATAACTTAATTAAGCATTGTTAACCATTTATGCATAACTTAATTAAGCATTGTTAACCGTTTATGCATAACTTAATTAAGCATTGTTAACCGTTTATGCATAACTTAATTAAGCATTGTTAACCGTTTATGCATAACTTAATTAAGCATTGTTAACCGTTTATGTAACTTCAACGAAATTCTTATCCTTTAACAGTGAGGAAAATTTAATACAAATTTTCAAATAAATATACATTTGAACTGTTTCTGCTGATTACAAGAAAACAAAAACGAAAATAACCGCACAATATATTTCTTGTAGAGCAAAGCCATATTGGGCTATCTGCTGTGTCCAACGCGGGGAAACGAACCCTGGATTTTAGCTTTGGTAGTCCGTGAACTTACTGTTGTCCCACCGGGGGACACGAAGTCCGTAAAACTTACTGCTGTCTCACCAGTTAATATGGGATATCCCACCAGGAGCATGATAAGTTAATATGGGATATCCCACCAGGGGCACGCTGAGTTAATATGGGATTCTCACCAGGAGCACGATAAGTTAATATGGGATATCCCACCAGGGGCCCGATAAGTTAATATGGGCTTCCCACCAGGGGCACGATAAGTTAATATGGGATATCCCACCAGGAGCACGATAAGTTAATATGGAATATCCCACCAGGAGCACGATAAGTTAATATGGGATATCCCACCAGGGGCACGATAAGTTAATATGGGATATCCCACCAGGGGCACGATAAGTTAATATGGGATATCC